TTAGTGTCTTCCCATAATACAACAGCAATTGTTGATGCAACAATGTTGGTTTTCCATGTGTATGCAATACTGGTATTATGTACAAGTTCACGTCATGATTTTTTTTAGACTGTTGCATGCAGTTCTCAATGGAAAAATTCTCAGGAAGGAGGCAATGACAGTGCTAGAGCACAAAGAGATGGGTGGAAGAAAGAAACTGGAAAAAGTTTTGAAATTCATGGAAAAAGCGGAAATGTAAGTGAAATTCTTTCACATTATTAGTTAATTTTGTTATCTATCTATGACAATAATGAAAGCTATTTTTTATAGGTTCTGAATTACTTTCTTTTATCTACTGATGTTATTACACATAAAGTCAAGAATCAAATACATAATTAACTATGATATAAGATACGCATCTTTGCAGTAAAGCCAATTTATGATCATTGAATAAGATTCCAGCAGAGTTAATTTGCATTTTTCTCTCCATAAGGCTACCCCGTGGATCAGAGGAGAGGTTGAACATGTACCAGGAAGTGTCATTTACACTGGGCTCAGCCTGCTATATTCAGGGTGCCATGCCCACCATGTTGTTCACTGCTATGGAGTTTCATGAGGACTTTGAAGGGGGTGTCTTGGCTAATGCAAACATTGGAGGCAAGTTGTTTTTTATGTACAGACACAGATGTGTCTGTACATATTGCCATCACCTGCGTCTGTCGTCGCCGATGCCGATGCCGATGCCGATGCCGATGCCGATGCCGTCGCCGGCGCCGTGCACTTTCCTTGTAAACACGATAAGTGGAGGGCAGTTTTACTTTTTGGCTTAATATTTACAGAGCTGATGAATATTCATAAAACGCAGGTCAAGTTCGAAAATCAGCATGATCGGGCCATTTTAAGGGAAGTTATGCTGTTTTTTTCACTTTTTTCAGCATATATGCAACCCTGTAAACACATTTTAAGGAAAACCGTTAGGCCTGTTGTCATGTAACTCACAGGAGTAATCAGTCTTATAAAAACACAGGTCAAGTTCGAAAATCAGCATGATCGGGCCACTGTTTCAGTAGTTATGCTGTTTTTTTTCATTTTTCAGCATATATGCAACACTGTAAACACAATTTAAGAAAAACAGATAGGCCAATTGTCATTAAACTCACAGGAGTGGTCAATCTTATTAAAATGCAGGTTGAGTTCGAAAATCAGCATAATCGGGGCATTATTTTAGAAGTAATGCTGTTTTTTCACATTTC